TCATGAGAAACTATTTGTTCTGTAAGCCTTCACCTGAAGTACAATTAAAAAAAAATAAAAAAAATTAGAAGAAATAAAGAGTTTACAAAAAAAAGTATCAACAAAAAATATATATATATGTATCCAGGATTTAACCATTCCTTACCATTCTGCTGCCCCCCACCCTGTTCCAGGCCCTATTTATCTTTCACCTGGATTATTGCAATAAACTCCTAACTCCCGTACTATTTTCAACACAAAAGCCAAAGTGATCCTTCTAAAACATGTCAGATATCCTGTCTCTTCTGCTCACAACCCTCCAGTGGTTCCTCAGTTCTCTCAGAGTAAAAGCCAACATCCTTACATAACCTACAAGGCTTACCATATATCCTTCCCACTCCCCCACCGTTTATTTCTTGGAGGTCTTCTGCTCTTATTCTCCGCCTTGCTCACTTTGTTCCAGTCACACTACCTTCCTTGCTGTGCCCTGAACTTGCCAAACATGTTCTTTCCTCAGGACCTTTGCACTTACTGTTCCTTCTGACTGGAAAGCTCTTCCCCAGATATCTGCATGGTTTCCTCCTTCATCTCCATCAAGACTTTGCTCGAACGTCACTAGATCAGTAAGATCTTCACTTAGCATTATTTCAACTCACATTCGCCCATCCCAGGTGACACTTCTTATCTTCTTCCTTGTTTTTTCCTCCATAATTCCTATTGCCTTCTAATACAAGATACAATTTGTGTGTCTCCCAACTCTAGAATGTTAGTTCCACAAAGGCAGAGATTTTCATATATTTTGTTCAGTGATGTATCTCCATTACCTAGAATAGTGCCTGGGCACATGTTGCTGGGTGCTGCTGAGTCTATTCCAACTCATAGTGACTCTATAGAACTGAGTAGAATTGCCCCATACGGTTTCCAAGGCAGTAAATCTTTACGGAAGCAGACTGCCATATCTTTCTCCCACGGGGCGGCTGGTGGGGTTTGGTCTGCCAACCTTTAGCTTAGCAGCCAAGTGCTTAATCACTGCGCCACCAGGGCTCCTTTCTGGGCACATGGTGTTGAGTGTTTGTTGACTGAATGGATGAACTGGGTTCAGAAACTGGACAAGAACTAATACACATTAGCAACTGATCACACAACCCTTAGTCTTATCACTAAGCTCTCATGATTACTCCAACCCTTATCCACATTCATTTGTGCACTTTTCTACCTTATCCCCCAAAGAATTAAAAGTGCGGTAAATATACACATTTATCAAGGTGGAAAGCAAAGGGAACTTCATGGCAGCAAAAGCATAGATGGAAATATAAGACAAACACAAGTATAGTTATTCCTCTCCTGATACCTGCAGGATTCTTTTTTTTTTATTTAAATTTTTTAATTGTACTTTAGATGAAGGTTTACAGACAAATAGTTTCTCATTAAACAATTAGTACATGTCATGGATTGAATTATGTCCCCCCAAAAATGTGTGTATCACTTTGGCTGGGCCATGATTCCTGGTATTGTGTGATTTTCCTATATGTTGTAAATCCTGCCCCTATGATGTTAATGAAGGAGGATGGGTGGCAGTTGTGTTAGTAAAGCAGGACTCAATCTATAAGATTGGATTGTGTCCTGAGGCAATTTCTTGAGATTTAAAAGAGAGAAGTGAGCAGAGAGACGGGGGACCTCATACCACCAAGAAAGCAGTGCCAGGAGCAAAGCATGTCCTTTGGACCCGGGCTCCCTGTGCGGAGAAGCTCCTAGTCTGGGGGAACATTAATGAGAAGTGCGACAGAGAGAGAAAGCCTTCCCCTGGAGCTGATGCCTTGAATTTGGACTTTTAGCCTACTTTACTTTGAAGAAATAAATTTCTCTTTGTTAAAGCCAGCCAGTTGTGTTATTTCTGTTGTAGCAGCACTAGATGACCAAGACAGTACTCATACTATTTTATGACATTGGTCAACAACCCTACAACATGTCAGCACTCTCCCTTCTTGACCTTGGATTCCCTATTACCAGCTTTCCTGTCCTCTTCTGCCTTCTAGTCCTTGTCCCTGGGCTGCTGTGCCCCATTAGTCTCATTTTGTTTTATGGGTCTGTCTAATCTTTGGCTGAAGGGTGAATCTCGAGAGTGACTTCATTACTGAGCTCAAAGGGTGACGGGGGGCCATTCTCTCAGAGCTTCTCCAGTCTCTGTCAGGCCAGTAAATCTGGTCTTCTTTTGTGAGTTAGAATTTTGTTCTACATTTTTCTCCAGCTCTGTCTGGAACCCTCTGTTGTGATCTCTGTTAGAGCAGTCAGTGGTGGTAGCTGGGCACCATCTAGTTGTACTGGACTCAGTCTGGTGGAGGCCATGGTAGTTGTGGTCTGTTAGTCCTTTGGACTAATCTTTCCCTTGTGTCTTGTTTTCTTCATTCTCTCTTGCTCCTGAAGGGGTGAGACCAGTGAAGTATCTTAGATGGCCGCTCACCGGCTTTTAAG